GAAACAAGAACGAAATAAACGTCGCTGACAACAGCCATGAGCCCTAAACAGCACATACTTTAATCCACACCTCTTACCTGGCTACAAAAGACCGGGTACAGGGTCTGATTTAGAAGGGATTTGTCGCCAACGGTGTCACACAGATAACAACAATGGCTGTTCTTGTCTCTAAGGGTGAGTGCATTCCATCTTGAGTTCTCCATGATCCTCCATCAGTGTCTGTTCGTTTGCCTGCCAAGGTTGAAACGGCACATGCTCACTGGGGCGCTGAGTCAGTCAACAGAACCAAGTGCTTTGAGGCGAGAAGTCACCCTGGTGTGTGGCTTCTGCCCTGGGGCTGCTGGGGCTCTGGGCCCCTCCTTCTGGATTCCCGGTGCAGAAGGGGCAGTGTTCATGAAGGTTGGCAGGGCAAGCAGCTCTAGGACCTTGGGGAAGTCACAGGACTCCTTTGAATCCAATCCAAACCCAAACCAAATCCCTGGTGTGCAAGTCAGCCCTGATTCATGGCCACCCTGCAGGACAGAGTAGAACTGCCCCTGCAGGTTTCCGAAGAACTGCCCCTGGGGGTTTCCAAGGCCGTAACTCTTGGCGGGAGCAGTAAATCTTTTCGTCCTTGGAGTGGCTAGCGGGTTAACAGAGTATCTCTGTGTCTTCCTAATAAATTCCCTGTTTGCTTAAAATTGGTAAACCTTTTTTTTTTTTTAAGATTACCCAGACTAGGAGAGAAAATCCGTCACTAGAGAGGAGATATGTATGAAGGGGTACAAAAGACAAATAAACGGGGAAAAGCTCAGCTGGGCAGAGCTTTCGTCGTCCACTCATTAACTCATAGACTCATTAACACCAATGACCCAGCCTTGCTTGTGTACTGAAGCAAAGAGGACTTGAAGCACCTATTAATGAACAATAAAGACTACAGCATTCAATGTGGCTTATAACACAACACAGGGGCAACAGAAGTCCTAACAACTGGTCCAAAAATCAACAACATAGTAAATGGAGATAAGATTGACATTATCAAGGATTCCATTTCACTTGGGCCTACAGCCAACAGCCAGGGACGCACCGTCAAGGCAGCAGATGACGTGCTGCATGGGCAAACCCACTGCCGAAGACCTCTGTCAAGTGTTGAAGAGTAAAGCTGTCACTGAGGACTAAGAATGCTCCCGACCCAAGTCTGGGTATTTTCAGCCATCTCCCCTGCACGTGAAAACTGGACATTGAATAAAGAGGCCTTTGAGCTATGAGTAATATTGAAGTTGCCATGGGCTACCAGAAGAAAGGACCAATCTGCCTTAGAAGAAGTAAAGCCAGGATGAATTCTCTTTAGAAGTGAGGATGTTAACATCATCTCACATACGTTAGACATGTTACCAAGAAGGACCAGGCCTTCGTGAACATCATGCTTGGTGGGGTAGTCAGTGACAAAGAGGAAGCCCCTCAGTGAGATGGACTGACCAGTGGCAATCGTGGCAACCACGAGCGCAAACATAGGAACGATTTTGAGGATGGCATAGAACTGGACAGTGTTTGGCTGAGTCGGCGCCAAACAACTACTACATATGTATTTATGCAAAGTACTTTTTGAATAATTGCACCACCTAGCTCATTGAACACCAGAGAAGGGAAGGGAAAACAGCTGGAGAACACACACGCTCAGAAAACATTGTCCCTTCCTGTTCCCTGGGCACAGCCTGAGCCCTGTTCCAATGGTTTGTCACCACAGTTCTAGAGTTACCCAATGACCTTGTTCAAACGACTCTCTGGGCAAGGACGGCAGCTGCATGAGGTGGGAATTCAGGTTCTTGAGTCAGGGCATGAGCCTAGTGTATGTGGTTGGATTTCCTTCATTTAATGTGATCCTACGGAGCCTTGGTGGGTTACTGCATTGGTTGATAACCAAGAGATCAGTGGTTTGAAACCACCAGCCACTCCACTGGAAAAAGATGAGGATCTCTACTCTCATAAAAAATTAGTCTTGGAAATCCAATGGGCAGTTCGACACTGTCCTACAGGGTTGCTATGAGTCAGAATCGACTCGATGGCAGTGAGTTTTGTGTTAGCATGATTCCATTCTGTGGTGCTGGATGCAAGGGATAAAGCAGTGGACAGTTCAGACTGGCTCTGTGGCCTCAGGAAGGCTCATTAAAGTAGAACAAGCCACCAAGCCATCTTCAAACAATCAGTTCAAGTGAAAATATAATAAATTGCAACATACTTTGTAAAAGTGCAGGGTGCTAAGAGGGAATAGAGCGGAGGGCGCAGTGTCATGGAAGATCGTGCAACCTGAGGCTAAGTAGCAGTTCCCCAGGCACTATCACCAAGTATTAGACAGAGAGCAAGATATTCAAAGGGTCCACGGCAGGCAAGAGTCAGTGTTCAAGAAGACCTGAGAAACTGTCCCATAAGGAAGAAGCAAGAGAAGAGGCAGGAGAGCCAGTCGACCCAAGCACCTCGTTATGCAGAGTGAAGGAGAACGAACATGTGCTTCTGTCTCCGCCCCATCTCCCAGTCACCACGCTTTCTGACTACCGCACATGAAATTATCTTAGCAAATCAAGGTAAGAAACTTACAAAAGACAGCAGCTTACAGATAGCTCTGCCCATGCAGCGGGTATTTCTTCAGTGGGTGGCCTTGCCTGTCAAGGCGGGAATTGACTGCAGAAGTAGTATCTTCCTATAACAAAAATAAATCCCATGATTGCATTGCGTATGATGCACTATAGATCCGTGGTGCCCTGAGAGGTGCCCTGAGATATCGTTTTAGATGCAGGAGGTTCGGATATGTTATATGGATGGAGTTCATGCTATGTGTTTGCATATAGACACTTTTTTTCTAAGCATTTCTAGATCAAGAATTAACCAGGCAAAGCCAGTGGTTTTGAAAAGAGGAAGTAAAATAATACCCCGCCGCCATGGTTGGTGGTGGTGGTGGTGGGGTCCATTCTGACTCACTGGAACTCCAGGTCCAACAGAGCCAAGCACTTCCGGTCCTGAGCCATCCTCACAACTGTTGCTACCTTGGAGGTCATTGTTGAATCCATCCATTTCATTGGGAGCCCTTTCATTGGGAGCCCTCCTTTCCCCCCACCCACCCCCACCCTCTACTTTAGCAAGCACGATCAGGGCAACATAGTCAAAGGACATGAGACCAAGGCTTGCCATTCTTGCTTCGAAGGGTCCTTCTGGCTCTATTTCTTCCAAGACAGATTTGCTCTTTTTTTTTAAATCGTTTTATTAGGGGCTCTTACAACTCTTATCACAATCCATACATACATCCATTGTATAAAGCACATTTGTACACTCACTGCCCTCATCATTCTCAAAACATTTGCTGTCTACCCAAGTCCCTGGCATCAGGTCCTCATTTTTTTCCCCTCCCTCCCCGCTCCCCCCTCCCTCATGAGCCCCTGAATAATTTATAAATTATTATTTTGTCATATCTTACACTGTCCGACATCTCCCTTCACCCACTTTTCTGTTGTCCATTCCCCAGGGAGGGGGTTATATGTAGATCCTTATAATCAGTTCCCCCTTTCCAACCCACCCTCCCAGTATAGCCACTCATTGGTCCTGAAGGGATCATCCGTCCTGGATTCCCTGTGTTTCCAGTTCCTGTCTGCACCAGTGCACATCCTCTGGTCTAAGATTTGCTCATTCTTCTGACAGCCCATGGTACATTCGATATCCTTCCCCCACCCCATCATTCAAAGGCTTCGATTCTTCTTCAGTCTTACGTATTCACCGTCTAGCTTTTGCATGCGTATGAGGCAACTGAACACAAACACCATGGCTTGGGCAGTGCCCCATAAGTAGGGCAACCAATACATCCTTTGTGTCACTCTATCCATGGAGACTACGTCAATCTTTAAACAGGTCAAGGTAAACCCAGACCGGTTTACCTACATGGTAGGTTTGAAGCTGGCCATTCCTACAAGCACTGTTTGTTGACCCTTCCTATGAATTCTTTAGTGACGGCACCTTTCACTAAAGGTGACTTGGTTCATTGCTGTACATCATCAGGAGACTCAAAGTACTGAGTAACCCTATCTCTGGATTAAGAACATTCCCACCTCTATAAAAGTCAAACAGCTAAAAACATTTTGAATGTCTAGAAAACCATTCTCCCAGGTTGTACCAGGCCCAGCTGAGCCCTTCCTGGACAGGAGTGCCTGTGGGTAGCGGTAGGGAAGGTGCTAAGGGCCAGCAGCAAATGAGGGCCAGTCAGACCTCTCCTGTGAACACTGTCATTAGAGATTGAGTTGTGTCCCCCCTAAAATGGATATTTCAAACCTGTCCTCTGTGCCGGTGAACGTAATCCTGTTTGAGAATAAGCGCTTACGTGGGTTCGTAAGTAACGTCACAACAGAACAGAGTGGATCCGAAGCCTCCGGACCTCGGAGTTATACAAAGAACAAGCGGAGACACGGAGGCACACGCGGGAGAAAGAAACTTTGTGAGACTTGTCTGCAAGCCGACGGACAACCAGGATGTCCAGCAAACAACAGAGCCAGGAGAGTGGCTCCCAGAAGACAAGGGCGTGGGGAGACTGCTCGGACCTTTCAGCGCCAGACTTTGAGAAAACAGTTTCTGTTCTTCAAAGTCACCTGAAGGTGGTATTTCCACTGGGACATCACTAGGTAACCAAAGAAAACATGTTTCCTCCCTCTGCCGGTCTCTCTCTCTCTCTCTCTCTCTGATTCCTCTGCTCCAAATCAGGTGCTTCTCATCTTCAGGACCCAGTTCCATCGTCTCTTCCCCAAGAAAGCCCTTCCCCAACTCTCTACCAAGCCAAATACCTTTGGCAGACACCCGCGGGACACCACACACCACCATCTGCAGCCAGCACGATTTTACAGTGATTTCTGGGGGTGGGTCCTGAGGGATGGTTGGCTTGCCCACCAGCCTCTAGGTCCCGCTCTCTGTTAGTAGTTAGCCAGTGCTTCATCAGAAGCCCTTACCTGGGTTGGACTTGGCTGCTCAGCCCGGTGGGATGTCAGAATATTGCATATTCGCTCGTGGATCTTCTTCCACGTCGACTCGAAGCCGGAGTGGAACCTGTCCGCAGAGCCAACAGGAGGGAGTGAGGGTGCAGGTGCCCCTCACCATTATGTGCTGAAACTGATGACTTACCACGTACGTCGGTTCCACACACAGTATGATTTCAAAGTCTCTTACACCCACACAGAGGAACAATATTCAGATAGGAGCTAAAATCAGCCAAGATGATAGAATGGTTTCGTTGGGGGTCTGTCTGTGAATGATTTTTTTTTTCTTTTCTCTTTTCTATCTGCTGACCTTATATTTCTTTTTTTTAATTGCTTTTTGCTCCCTTTTACAGCGCTCTTACGGTTTCTCACCTCTCTCACCAACAATTACTTTGTGAACTTTCATCTTTACTCCAATTTCAAACATTTCAATACATAATATAAACCCAATTGTCATCCACTGCAGGGAAGCCATTGTAGGCTGCGTGTGTTTTAGGCAGCCCAGCCCTGACCCAGCCCTGGGCCTGCCTTCCGGGCAGCTCTTCAAACACAGAGCCCGTGATCCTTTCTCGAGGGTGCCCTCGCCCCAAAAAGGCAGCTCTCACCTTGGCGGTCAGTGCTACTGTCGCACACGTTCTTTCTGAAGAAGGATTTTGCCAACCCTGCCCCATGGACATGGCTGCCACCCCCAGTCCCCACGCCCTCCCTACTCCGGTAAACTCCTCCCCACCCTTCAGGTGGCAGTTCAGGCTGGTCTCCCAGGAAAGCCCCCCCGCGGCCCCTGTCCTGTCATCTATATGTAGCGCTCCCGTCACCTCGCCTTTGGAGGTCTCCCCTCGCTGGATGTTTCCTCCTTCTTTGGTTCCTGTCTCTTAGTCTGAAACTGCAATTTTCATGAGGTCAGGGCCCAGGAGGGAGGAAGTACAGGTGACCCTTGAGGTACCAGCTGCGGTAGTCTGGGTTCTCTAGAGAAGTGGAGTCAGTGATGCCTGTATGTGTTTGCTCTTGAGAAATGGCTGACACAGCTGTAGAAGGAGATAGGTCCAGCAAGTACCCGCTACCACAGAGTCTTCAGTACGGATTAAAATGCAGGGCAAAGCCAATCAAAATCCTCACATCTGGACCAAGAGGAAGTATCAGAAGACTGAAGTTGTCACGGATTGTATCTTGCTAGAAACCTCAGAAACCAGCCACCGAGAACCCCGTGAAGCACAGTTCTCCTCTGACCCACGGGAGCCACCATGAGCCAGAGTCGACTTGACAGCCACCGGCTTTTTAGGGCAAAGTCCACTGTCTGTCTTATTTCCAACCAACGGAGGCTGAGCTTTGCCTTCCAGAGGCAAAGAGAAAGAATCGGGTCGGGCTGGCTTTAGGACAGCTTTCACAGGCACTCGTCATGTGTCCGGGCTAAGGTGTCCCAGGTTGAAGATCCCAAAGAAAGTACATGGAAGTGGTGCCCTGGCTGCACCTTGGCCAGACCACTGCGTGCTCTGCAGGCAGAGCCCCGGGCTCACTAACCTTTCTCGGAGAAGCGGGCTGGATGGCCTGAGATGCTGGGAAGTGGTCAACGGAGCTTCCATGGCCAACGGAGCTTCCAGGTGGAAGTCGGCATCCCCTCCGTTACTGTAACTGGACCAGGCCTTTCCAAACTGACTTGCATCTAAAGGCGCTATCGGTGAGTTATTCCTGAGGAAAATCCGCTCGTCGGGCTCTTTGATAACCTGCAGGACAACATGTATTATTCTGGGGGTGCAGTTTTGTTTTGGTTTGTTAAATCTGGGGTGGGGATGGGACTAGACAGAGATCAGGGTCAGAATGGCAGACTGTCTGCCCCCCAGGGATCTTCTGCAAATGAAAGAAGACTAGTGAGAGAACCCGTTTGGGAGGCGACGCCAAGGAAGAAGAAACCACGTCATTCAACAAACACAATTCCGGGTGCTCAGTCTGGACGAGAGAGCTTCAAAGGCTTGTGGGAAAAGCCCCTTATCTTCTAAGCCCATTTTCCTGTGAACTTCCTGAAACCTCTTTGCTATTAATAAGCCAAAGAGACCTATATGCTGAACTTTCATTGTTGAGGTTTGGGGGTGATTTGGAGTAGGAGAGCTTGTGTTTTAGCAAAACATGTCAAGGCTGCGGCGGCATGAGAAGCGTAGGATACTCGGGCCTCCTTGCACACAGATCTGCGTGTGTCCTAACACTTAGGTTCGAACCTTGATCTTGACAAAACCTTTGAGGACAAGTAATTGACCACCTCTAGCATAGAAGATACTCGATTCTAGAAGAAGCGCTGGAAACCACTCCTCGTCAATCAGCTATTCCACCACCTGTCGGTCAGCATGTCGTACTCCCACACGTGTGGCTATGATGCTGGAAGCTGTGCCAGCAGGATTTCAAATACTGGCAGTGTTACCCGATGCAGACAGGTTTCGGCGGAACTTCCAGACTAAGACAAGACCAGGAAGAAAGGTTTGATGACCTAATTCTGAAAATTCACCCATTAAAAAAAAACAACGTGTGGGTGACAACAGAATATTGTCCAACTGGCTTTCTCTGGACACGTCATCAGGAGGGGTCACCAGGGGGACTTTGTGTTCAGGGATGTGGAGAGCTTGTGTTTTAGCAAAACATGTCAAGGCTGCGGCGGCATGAGAAGCGTAGGATACTCAGGCACTCAGGGATGTGCCCAGCGAGATGGACAGGCCACAAGAGCTGCAACACTGGTCTCAAACGTGCCGGCCAATTTGAGGATGACGTAGGTGGGCAACATTTCGTTCTGCATATGGTTGCAGGAAGCTGGTGCTGGCAAACAGCACGAGAGGTATTGGGCTTCCAGGTACCCTCACTGATGATGCATATGCAAAGAGCTTAGGTCCAGGGAACAGACCAACGGACCCCAAAGCAAAATATAGAGTGGAACCCAGACCCCTCTTTACTTTCATACTCGTTAAACCACGCCATTTCACAAGCAGCCCTAACCAGCGACGGCTCTTTTCACCACCAGTTGGGAAAGAAGCATCATAATTGACATAAAAAGACAAGCTCACTGCCATCAAGCCAATTCCAACTCATCGCTCAGCCCTACAGGACAGAGTAGAACGGCCCCTGTGGGTTTCTGAGGCTGTCACTCTCACCAAGAGTAGAGAGCCTCATCTTTCTCCTAAGGAGCAGCTGGTGGTTTCAAACTGCTGACCTTGGCGGTTAGCAGCCCAGCACAAAATCCACTACGCCACCAGGGCGCCTACAAGGTTGACATAAGAGAGGTGGAAATAAAGGGTTTTACACATGCTACTTGTAAAATTACCTTGACGTCAACTGCAAGGCTGTCAAGAGAAGACGCTGGAAGAGAGAGAGGGACAGGTGTCTCGGTGACTGGTCATTGTCAGCTGCTCCTACAATTGCTGTGATACTGACTCCACGGCAGCACACGCGTGTTAGGCAATGAATGGATTTGCAAAGAACGTAAATGCTCCCTGGTCAATGGACATCTCCCTTGAAACACAACAATGAGATCTATAGATGACTTGGGGTCCCCTTCTCTTTGAGGTCACCAATGGGCAGCACATGAATGTGGGGCAGGAAATGGGCAGGATAAAGGTGAAATAGTATTTGCCCAGGTGCCCAGAGCCGAGAAGAAAGTGTGAGCCTAAGAAAATGCATACACCCTGCCTCCTCTGCCATTCCCTTGATTTTCCATTTCCTTGGAAGTCTATGGATACATGGACGCGTGAGTATTGTCCATGGTGTACACAGATGGGAAATGGACATAAGGCATCACAGATGTAAATCATTCAACATTCACTGCCATTGAGCCCACTCTGACTCGAGCTGACCCTACGGGACAGGGTAGAACGACCCCCGAGGCTTCCCCAGACTGAAACCCTTTAAGGGAATGGAAAGCCTCATCTTTCTCTGAGGGGTGGCTGGTGGTTTTGAACTGCTGACCTTACAGTTAGCAGCCCAACTCGTGACTACTGTGCCACTGGGGCTCCCGGGTTACCCTAGTTCATCATAATTAGGAAGTAGACCTGATGCTGGGGGATGGCACCCGTCACTAGGGAGTGAGGTCATAATGCACGCAGACAAAGCCAAATCTAAATGGGAAGTTTCCAGATTGGGAGTAATTTTTTTGAGAGTCTCAACAAGGCTATGGGAAGGCACCATGGCTTCCCTAGTGTGTTCCATCCTTAGTTGGCTGCTGTCCGAATGTCATCACTAGCCAAGAACACTGCTTGCATGGCCACAAGTGGCCGTACAGTCCCTTCAAAGTCCCTCAGGCCTGCCCAGCTAAGGTGGGGCCCCTGCTAGCAGGCTGCTCCAGGTGCAGTCCTCCCGGGAGGCACCATGACTCCTTTTTATCTAAGAATTCTTAGAAAGTGCAGAAATGGCTGAACTTCACGCCATTGCCTATTGACATGGTTCCTCTATCACCAGGGGATGCCCTAACCCAGCGCCTTTCCATGTGTGGCCCGGGGACTTCCCTGGGGCCCCCAAGACACTTTCAAGGGGTCCCACAGGGTCAGAGCGAGTTTTCCTAATGACACTAGGTAGACATCATTTGCCTTCGTCACTCCCGTTCTCTCAGGTGTGCAACAATGGAGCCTTCCAGAAATTACACAACGTGTGATGACGTCCCATTCTGACGGCTCCTAGAACATAGGCTTCAAATGTCCCCGTTTTAATTTCTGGAATGGTCCGCAGGGGCAGTTTCGACAAAGTCCTCATCGAAAGGTAACACATGCTCTTGTCAAGATACGATGGTCAAGAAGGCACAAGGGTACTGAGGCCAGGAAGGTGGAGATCCATTGCCTTAGCCTCACTGCTGCTGGCTGACAGGGAGCCTTATAGAATAAATGTACAGATGTTGATCCCCACCCCCAGCTCTTTCCCATCTAGGAATAAAAAAAAGGCTGTGTGTGTGGTGCCTTTGCTAAGATTTCACCCCAGCATGAAGCTCCTCTCCGCTTTTCCGGCCCAGCCAGGAAGCCGATGGGTGCAACCTCAGCACACCTGGTCAGCAACCCGGCTCACAACACTCCTTCCACACCTGGGAGACTGCTCTGTGGGGGGGCCTCCCTGCCTACTCCACAACCGGACACTACTTGAGAATTAGGCCCACAGTTTCCAAAGCACCTTGTGATTCCTCCGGATGAAAGGAGACGGACACGGAAGCTTCCATGGACTAATGTACGGAAGGAACTTAAGTACCTCTTCGCACGGGGAACGGGAAGTTTGACAACTTGCACTTTCTTCGCGACTTTCGGGACCGCAGCTCGGAAACAGTCTCACCGAAGGGCCTTGCACTGTCCACCTGGAGGACAACGAAAGAAGTCAACGTGAGCCCACCTGAGCTAGCACTGCCGGTCGCCGTGGGGGTCTGGCCTGCTGTGTCCGTGCAGTCGCCATGAGTCCAGAGGGCAACTGGACGGCCACCACCAGCAGCAGCCTAGGTGGGGAGAGCATGTTCAACTCGTGATTTTCAAAAATTAAAACCAGAGACGGCTGTTGAGCACGTCTTCTCTGTCTGACCACGTGGAGGACATCTCAGCCGAGAGGAGAAGGCCCCTCAACCAGAGGAATGGACCCAGAGGCGCCAGCAGCGGAACCGAGCATAAGAACCACCGTGAGGATGGCGCTGGACCAGGCGCGGCTCCGTTCTGTTGTGCCCGGGTTCGCTGTCAGTCAGAACCAACTTGGTGTCACCAAGCAGCAGCAACAACCACATGGTGACGCAAGAGTTACAAGGGCAGTGGTGTGATGGGCGGGGCATAGATCAGATCACACCATGACTGATCCGGTTCTGCTATTCGCCAGGTGAGGTGAGCTTGCCCCAAGTTCATCGACATGACCTCCCCGAGACAGTGTCCCACCTGCATCTTCGCCCACCCCCGTCCAAGAGATTCAACAATGGCTTTAGGCTCACGTGTCTGACTACAAACGGAGGTTTCATGTCTCTGGCGATGTTGGCACTATGTCCATTGTTTGTGTGCACTGGCTGGTCCTGGAAGAGACGCCTGGCAGGAAGTGGAGAGGGTGACCGGGACTGGGCACCCCGGGAGGCCCTGTCCAGATGATTTCCCTTGGGCTTGGTCTTTTTGCTGCTTGTGGGGAGCGCTGGTCCAGGTGATGTCAGTAAAGGCTTTTGTGGCTTCCCTCTGTCTTCCTGAGACCAAGAAGAAAGAACACCCTTAGTACGGACATTTCAACCATGAATAGAATTCATCATGAGACAGCCACGCTTAATTCAACCTGCTGAACGATAGCAAAAGACCGCGCATCTCAGATGTACAAACATAAGGACGGGCATTGTTCTCTGGGTTGGTTGAACATTGTTTGCTAGCATTTGTCACTTGCTGCAAAAACATGTTTCATGACACCGATATCTACTTGGATTGCAGGAGCGTTGGAAAGTATCAGACGCTTCCATGTGCCATGATAAACAAGGAGGCGGAAGGCAGGGAGATGAAAGGAGGGGATGAAGGAAGGAAGGGAGGGGAAGGAAAGAAGATGCTCTGGCGTATTCTCGGGTGCACCAATTTTATTGTCCCTGGTGACGTCGTGGTTATGTGTTGGGCTGCTAACCACGAGGTCAGCAGTTCAAAACCACGAGCCACTCCTTGGGAGAAAGACAAGGCTTTCTACTCCCTTAAAGAGTTACAGTCTCGGAAATCCACAGGGGCAGTTTCAGCTGGTCTATGGGGCCCCTATGAGTCAGAATCAACTCAAAGACAATGAGTTTTGTTTTCTTAAATTTCTTACAAGTCACTACTTGTGACTGTGCGCAGATCCACCACGGGGCTGTCAGTTTGTTGAGCTGCAGTGGCTGTCAGGGTGCTATGTTGCCGGAAGCTATGCTACCAGTGTTTCCATTACCAGCAGGGTCACAGATGGTGGACAAATGTCAGTGGTGCTTCCAGATTAGGACAGAACAGATATCTACTTTTGGGGGAATCAGTAAGAAACCTTACGAATAGCACCAGAACATTATCTGATATAGTGCCAGGAGATGAGCCTCGCAAGTTAGAAGACTCGAACATGACCGGGGAATAAGACATTCCTTTGCTGATGTGCCACACAACTCAAAGTGAGATGACGCTGCAACGTGCCAGACTAATCAGAACTTGGAATGCATGAAGTGTGAATCAGAAGAAAGAGGAAAATCTCAAACATGAGACAGAATGCGTGAAGATAGATATCCTAGGCACTGGTAAACAGATATGGACTGATACTGGCCATTTTAAATCAGCCCGCCACACAGTGCCCTACACTGGAAATGACATGCAAGAGGAAGGGCGTCATAGTCCTCATCAACAAGAATATTCCCAGATCTATCTTGAAGCGCCAGGCTGCCGGTGGCAGGATAGTAGCCACACTCCTGCAGGGAAGGCCAGTTAATAGAACTATTGTTCAAATGTATGCACCGGCACCAACCGCTAGTCCTAGAGTTGGACAAATTGAACAACTGTATCAGCTTCTGCAGTCTGAAACCGATCAAACAGAAAATCGAGAGGCTCTGAAAATTACTGCTGCTTGAGAGGCCAAGGTCAGAAACCAGGAGGAAAAGTGAGTGGATAGAAAATCTGACCCTGACCAGATGGCCGGCCCCACTATGAGACACGACATCCCTCACTGACTCATAGCCCTAGAGGGGACAACACTGGAGACACAGTGTGGGAATTGCACCCGATCTGATCCCACCACACCGAGGCAAAGCCCTGGGGGAGTGCAGCGGAACAGCAAGGGGAACAGAGTAACGAAGTCCCTGGGGAATACCAAAAATAGACTTTGGGGCCAGGGCTTGCACCCCCTCAGACTGGACTGGAAAACACTCCTAAAGGACAACAAACAGTCCTTGAACTAACTACAAGCTTTTCTTTTTTGTTGTTGTTGTGTTGTATGTTTTGTTTTGTTTTCTCATTGGCTTTTTGTTGTTGTTTTATTTTTTTTGTTGTTGCTTGGTTTTGCTCTGTCTTGTTTTTGTGCATGTTATTATCTCCGCAGGTCTGTCTAAATAAAATAGGCTGGATGAATAATCTGGAGGAGAAAACAACGGGACTGACAGTTCCGGGGGACATGGGAGAGGGGGAAGAGGGGGAAAGGAAGTGGTGTTAACAAACCCAGGAACAAGGGAACAGCAAGTGATCGAAACCGATGGTGAGGAGAATGTAGGAGGCCTGGTACGGCGTGATCAAGGGTAATGTAACCGAGAGGAATCAAACCCAAATGAAGACTGAGCATGATAGTGGGACAGGACGAAAGTCAAAGGAAATAGAGGAAAGAGCTAGGAGGCAAATGGCATCTATAGAGGTCTAAATAAAGGCATGTACATATGTAAATATGTTTATATATGAGGAAGGGGAAATAGATCTCTGTGCATATATTTATAGGTTTAGTATTAAGGTAGCAGATGGACATTGGGCCTCCACTCAAGTACTCCCTCAATGCAAGAATACTTTGTTCTATTAGACTGGTATTCCATGATGTTCTCCTTCCCGACACAATCACTGAAGACAAAGTGGGTGCATAAGCAAATGTGGTGAAAAAATCTGATGGTGCCCAGCTATCAAAAGATATAGGGTCTAGGGTCTTAAAGACTTGAAGGTAAACAAGCGGCCATCTAGCTGAGAAGCAACAATGCCCACATGGAAGAAGTACACCAGCCTGTGTGATCACAAGGTGCCGAAGGGATCAGTTATCAGGCATCAAAGAACAAAAAATCATATCATTGTGAATGAGAGGGAGTGTGGAGTGGGAACCCAAGCCCATCTGTAGGCAACTGGACATCCCCTTACGGAAGGGTTGTGGGGAGGAGACAAGCCAGTCAGGGTGCAGTATAGCTACAATGAAACATACAACTTACCTCTAGAGTTCCTAAATGCTTCCTTCCCAAATCCCGCCCCCCGCCCCCCTGCCCACTATCATGATCCCAATTCTACCTTACAAATCTGGCTAGACCAGAGGATGTACACCGGTACAAATAGGAACTGGAAATACAGGGAATCCAGAGCGGATGATCCCTTCAGGACCAATGGTGAGAGTGGCGATACAGGGAGGGTGCAGGGAGGGTGGGGTAGAAAGGGGGAACTGCTTACAAGGATCTACATATAACCTCCTCCCTGAGGGATGGACAACAGAAAAGTGGGTGAAGGGAAACGTCGGACAGTGCAAAATATGATAAAATAATAATTTATAAATTATCAGTGGTTCATGGTGGGGAGCGGGGAGGGAGGGGGTGGGAAATGAGGAGTTGATGCCAGGGCCTTACGTGGAGAGCAACTGTTTTGAGAATGATGAAGGCAATGAATGTACAAATGTGCTTTATTCAATGGGTGTATATATGGATTGTGATGAGTTGTATGTGCCCCTAATAAAATTATTAAAAAGAAGAAAAAGGAAAAAGAGGAGTCAATACCAAGGGCTCAAGTAGAAAGAAAACGTTTTGGAAATGATGATGGCAACATATGTACAAATGTACTGGATACCGTTGATATACGGATTGTTATAAAAGCTGTAAGAGCCCCCAATAAAATGAGTTATTTTTTTTTAAGTGGATGTCAAAAGAGATTCTGAAACTTGCTTTTGCCACACAGAGTAACTTAAGTGAATGGAAGACATGCTGAGGGAAAGGAACTGAACAGAAGGTTTCAAAGGGTGTCTCAAGAAGCCAAGGAGAGTAATACAATACAATGTGCCAAGCTGCAGCGCTAGAAAGCAAAGGGGGACAGACAACTGCTGCGAGAACCGAGGAAAACCGTCAGGCCTCAAATGACAGCGTTGAAGGTTTGTGGGTGAAGTGCGGGTTGGCACAGGAGCCCTCAGAAGAAGAGGGAAAGGATGGGTTGATGGCCCCCCAGTTCAGGAACGAGCATGTGATCATGAGCCAATGGTACTGAAGGAAGATGTGCCCGCGGCATGGAAGGCACAGAGGAAAAACAGGGCTCCCGGAATTGACAGAATACCGACTGAGAGGCTTCAACAAAAGGTGACCCACAACTTCTACTTTGAACTTCAGCCAAAGGCAGAAGGAAACACGTGTGTCTGCCTGGTTGACAGCCGACACCGTGGAACAGCTGCCACACAAAGGCTAGCCTACGCAGGCCTGATGTGGGACCTGAACCCCTGGGCCACGCTGCTCCCCCAACCACACTGTGCTGACAGTGGTAAGCACGCCTTCTCTGGCGGGCAGACGGGCTGCCTGAGCGAAGCCTTTGAGTTAAGGAAGTCCAACTCCAGCAAGAGGTCACCGGGGTCCCCGGCCCCATGGCTTCCACATTTGGTAAACTGAGTGTGGGTGGGACGTCTTTGCGTTGGCGGATAAACAGTTGTCAATTCTCCCTCTGGGTTCTCTGCAACACTTACGAGAAATCTGTTCCAGTGCATACACACTCGTTCTCGGATGGCCGTCCTTGTAGAAAACTCCAGTTTGGGAGCAATGCCCTGAGAACAAAACAGCATTTAAGGAACGAGGAGAAGTGCTGGGGGCAGGCTCCATGTCCACCCCTGCTCCTCTGAAGTCCCACAGGGACTCCACTGCTTTTCTGTTTGACTGGCATCGCGCACACGCCACTCTCTGAGACACACACACTAAGAACTGCTATGACAAGAATCACTTTTGAAAATGATGACGGCAACACATGTACAGATGTGCTTGATAAAGTTGATGTATGCATTTTTATAAGAGCTGTAAGAGCCTCCAATAAGAAGATTTTTTTGAATCTCTAATAAGGAGCCCTGGTGGTGCCGTGGTTACAAGTTGGGCTATGATCCACCTGGTCAGCAGTTCGAAACCACCAGCAGCTCCTCAGGAGAGCAACTGGGCTTTCCTTAGAAACAGTGACCGTGTCAGAAACCCACAGGGGGTTGCTATGAGTCAGCACTGACTCCCTGGCAGTCTGGTTATTTTCTTTGGAAGAATCTTGAATATTCATGTAGCACTAGAGACCGGGCCCTGTCTCTAAACCATTGCATCTATTAACTGTGGGAAGTGTTAACTGCGTCCCCATTTTGTAGATGTGTAAACTGAGACACAGGGAGTTCGATTTGCCCAACCGAAGTGGGGAGCCCACGTGTGTCAGGGTAGCACTGGGCTGATATTTTGTAAATAGATTTATCAGGTCAACCGGTTGCACGATGGACCCAGTGCGACAGGGCTGCTCCTGAGCAGAAAAGAACTTGGGTCCTCACACGGAACAGCACGTGAGATCCACCCAAGACCATGCCACATCAAGGGCAAAATGTCCAGGTCCCAAGAATTTCTCTCCCAACAAGACGTCGGCCGGCCGGGCCCAGGTCACTTACTGGAAAGCCGACCGCTGTCTTCATGAGCACCTCCCGACACATGCCAGGGTGCGAGGGGGCCAGCTTGGGCTCCGGGAAGAGAAACTCCCGTGTGTTTTCTTCGTAGTAGGCCAACTTCTCCCACCCTAGGAAGGGAAGAGACACACGTGACACACGGGCAGAGCCCGGGCACATGTGAGCAGACGCTCGGCCCCTGGCCCCCGTCGGTTCAGTGGAAAGTGGCTCTTCTTTTTCTCTCCTGGATAGGTTTTGACCGTGGGGCCCGGATCTGAGGGGGGGAGGGGGGAGGCTCTAAAGGTTACTAAAGGCTACTCCCATGGGAGAAAGATGAGGCTTTCTACTCCTTCCTGTAAAGAGTTACAATCTTAGAAACCTAGGGGGGCAGCTACCATGTCCCACACAGCACCAACTCTAGCAAAGGCAACTCCGGAACCTTAACCAAGAAGAAAATCTACCTGCCTGGTTTTTAATGCAATTGGTGTATGAATTGTAACAAGAGTTATAAGAGTCACCCATAAAATTTTTTGCATAAATAAATAAAATTTAAAAATAATAAAAACACTGGGTTTTCCAGTTGCTATGAGTCAAAGGACTAGAAGTCAGGGTGACTGGTTTGGGGAGGGGCAGGGGGAGTCCAGGAACACAGGTGCCATATAAATACAGGAACCGCTGTACCCTCACATCTTTATCAAGGGCTACTTTGTATTTTACGTCATATCACATCTAACGACTTCATTATGTCTTCCGGGAAACTGCACACAACACCTACATAGTGATGTGTATATAGTTATATATACAGTTGTTGTTAAGTGCCACTGAGTTGGCTCCGACCCATGACGACCCAGAGCCCAACAGAACACAACACTACAAGGTCCTGAGCCATCCTCACAATGGCTCCTGTGTCTGAGCCCACTGATGAAGCCATGGTGTAAATCCCCCTTTTTGCCGCCCCTCCACCTTGCCAAACACTATGTCCTGTGGGAGACCGAGGGCTGGGAAGAGAGTGTAGGCGGACAAACGCTTTCTTCTCAGAGTTCAGAAGCCTGGGAGGCAAGGATTCTGGGTGGAGGGAGGCCTTCACATGGGTGAGTTGGAGATTGAGTCCCAGCCACATTCTCCTAATTAAAAACCATCCCCACAACACCCTCCCATCGCTGTGCTTCCTTCGTGTCACCTCTCACAAGCACATGGCGGATTGCTCTGTGGTCGGCAGCTTCACTTCTTACACCAAGCCCTGAACAGATACAGCCGACAGCCTCTCCCAAAAGATCTGTCCCCGTTCTGGTCACCAGGTGGCCTCCTAACCATCACCCTGCTTCCCTGCTTCCTGCAGGAAAACCTCTTCTCCACACACGGAGTTGTCCTCAGTACATCAGCGTGTACCTTTCACCCGCTGCCTTACTGACCTGGAGCTGCTGGAACAGACACACCGCGCGGGCCGTTCTATAAAACAGATGGCTCATCCTCATCGTCGGGGAGGTTAGATGTCTCTATCAGGGTCTCAGCTGTGTTTATTCCTTCTCGCTCTTTCTCTAATAGCTTCTGGTGCTGCTGGAAGTCCTTGGCATCCGGGCGTGAAAATGCATGTCTATGTGGCCACACCGTACCCACCTTCTCTCAGGGTGGCCTCTGTCTCTTTCTGCTCTTTCAAGGACTCGGAAGTGATTAGGTTTAAGACCCATCCTACTCTGGTATCACCTCGTTATTGTACAAAAGAAAGATCCTGTTTCCAAGCAGGATAGCATCCACAAATGCAGGGGCAGGATTTCAATACATACTTTTAAGGGTACTCAATTCAATCCATGAGAGCTGCTTAAAACCTGGGAGGCGCCCAGCATCTTAGAATAAATCGAAGCACCCAAGCCTTCAAGACTAAGGAACCAGGAACTAACCACCTCTCTTACTGATTCTACCTCTCCCGCTCTGACCCCTCCTGCTGTCCCTCCAGCAGACCACACTGCAGCCGCCTTAGAGCTCAGCCCCACTCTCCGCCCTGTAATGCTCCTGGCAGGCTGTCCCTCCTTCTGAGGGACAGACCCTGGTTGAAATGTCAGCTTGCTGGAAAGGTGGCATTTCAACCTGAGGGAGCATCCTTTCCTGCCCCTCCTGTTACCTGGCTTTGTTTACGCTCTGTGTTAGGCAGGGTTCTCTAGAGAAACAAAACCAGGACACTTACGGTATAGATAGGTTTATACAGCGAGAAGGAACGTAACAGCTAATTAGTCCACAGAGCAGTACAGAGGGAACAGTTAATATACAGGAAGTCCTTCCACTCATGTGGGCTGCCGGGACCAAGGTCAAGGAGGCAGACAGCAGGGTCCTCCCTTGCGTAAGGCAGGTAGAGCCTGCCCACGAGCAGCAAAAACCAGTGTGGGTCAGCAACAGTCAGTCGCTCGGGAGCTTAGTGAAGAAGACCCCGTTGGGCTATCAGACTCATGTAATGCAAGGTAAAGGCTCCACCAGCCTGGAGCTCAAGCGATGTCCACACCAGCAGCGTGGCGAAGCAAGTCTCGAAGGAGCCTCACGGCCCCAACAGGGACACCATCAACGGCATCTTTGTTCCTCTTGCCCAAAATGAAACAAATAAGACTCCAAGAGAAATTATTTCAAGAATACTAAGTACAGACCTCTATATGTAACATGTACAAAGCATGTCAAAATTAGCCATGTGCTTCCAGATATGGGATCGCATGTGGTTCTGCCTTTTAAAGACGGGGAACGTGAGGCCATGGTATTGGTCTGATGGGGTGCTCGGTCAAGTGTAGGGATAGTGAAAGAGAGGAAGGCCGTCAACGAGATGGGCCAACACAGAGGCTGCAGCCATGGGCGCAGGCAGGGAACACTCGCGGTGCGGGACCAGGCAGTGCTCTGTAACGCTGTGCAAAGGGTCACTCCGGATCGGAACCAGCTCGGTGCCAACTGCGAACAGCACGCAGCTAAGGAGTGTGCTGGTGGGGACTCAACCAGATCGCCCAGGGCTAGCCCTCTGGCCTGACGGATAGTGCCTGGGAAACATCCCGCCCGGCCTAAAGGGGGCTGGCTAACATAACATCTGGGAGCTGTTACGATTTACTCCAAACTGGAAGTGATTATGAAGCAAGCACCAAGCTCACGGCAAACAGGACTACATGACCCCTGTGTCCACTCCTGTTTTCCTACTCAAGAACCAGAGGGGTCTTCTGGGGGTTGAGTTTTGTTCCCCCCACCCCCTGACCCACAAAAGGTATGTTGCATGTTGAAGTCCTAAGCCCCTCGCTCCTGTGACTGGACGGGAGTAGAAAACCTCATCTTTCTCCCGCAGGGTGTCTGGGGGTTTCAAACTGCCGGCCTTGTGGTTAGCAGCCCAGTGTCTCAGAAACCCACAGGGCCAGTTCTTCCCTGTCCTAGAGGGGCATTGGGAGTCAAAATGGACTCAATGGCAGTGCGTTTTTTGGGCATCTTTACAGGAGCAGAAAACCTCATCTTCCTCCCGAGGAGCAGCTGATAGATTCAAACCGCTCACCTTTCAGTTAGCAGCCCAACAAGTAAGTAACCACTACGGCACTAGGGCTCCTATGTATTCTAAAGGTACACACACACACACACATATATAATGCATTTTAAAAGGTCTACAGATATACACAAAAACTTACTACTGGTGATTGTGTCTGTGGGGAGTGGGAAGGAATGAGGTCTTTGATTGTTTACTCTATATACTTTTGTGCTACATTGAAATTTTTACAGCGGTCCCTGTTCTAGAACCTGGCACAGAGGATGGCTTGAGGTTTTAGAATATTAGGTATTGGGTAATTTCTAAATTTTTAATGTAAAATGAAATAAGACCAAGTCGAGCATGTCTTATTTTATTCACATGTTAAAATATATCTTGCTGGTTAATAATGGTACATGTTTGGACATAAAATTAGGTCAACTAAGAAAAAGGGGGGGGAGGGTCTCTGATAAGAAAAGCTCAGTGCCCTGGTTTTTTCTGCAGCTTCAAAGCTGGAAAACAGCCCATGCAATTTCTGGAAAAGCCGGCAGGAGGCGTCTCTGGTCTGTGCATGCGTGTGTGCGTGTGTGATCTAACCTAGATCCAGAGAGATGCAGCTCTTATCGGATTTCCAGGGCTGCAGCGCCGATGAACTGAGAGGCAGAAGAAAGAAACAACGCAGTCGAGGGGACCCTGACGGAACAGGAGAAAAATGAGGCACAGAACTCTAGTTCCTGGGAAGTCCAGACTTGCTGGGCTGAGACTAGAGGGCTCACGAAAACATTTTCCCTGAAAACCAAATCCAAACCCACTGCCATCGAGTTGAAGCCGACTCACAGCAACCCTGTAGGGCAGGGTAGGACTGGCCCTGTGAGTGTCCGAGACGGTTACTCTCTACGGGAGTAGAAAGCCTCGTCTTTCTCCCTCTGAGCGGCTGGTGGCTTCAAACCACGGACCTTGGTGGTTAGTGGCCCAGCACGGAACCATTATGCCACCGGGAGTCTTCGGATTCCCCCAATGATCCTCTTTAAACCTTGAACCAACATGACCCCGGAGATGACCTCTTCGCCTAAATAACAGATGGGTCCACAAAATAAAGAACAACAGGCATGACAACTGCACTGAACTGCTTTAAAAAATAATCTATGAGACCAAATGGTCAGCCAATACTCTTCAGCCAAAAAATGCAGTCATAGGAGGGCAGGCAGATGCTCTGGTGGCACTGAGGGTTAAGCAGTGCACGGAGTTGTGGTTGAGGAGGAAGGAAAATGAAATGACTAGAAATGGAGCCACTGAACAGAATGGGCAAGAAGGTTGACCCGTTGTGGAAAATGTCACCAAGGCCGCCGAGCAATTTGTGTAGAAATCGTTCAAGGGGAACCTAGCTTGGCCCCCACGTAGATACAGTAGTCTCTCGCATGGGAAGGCAAGAGCCTAATGACGTCATTCACATGGCCACCAACACATAAATGACTCCAGTGAAAGCAGAGGGGCCCTGTTGGTATCGTGGTGATGGGCTGGGCTGCTCGCCACAAGGTCAGCAGTTTGAAACCACCCCCCACTCTGAGGCAGAAAGAGGAGGCTTCCCACACCCTTAAAGAGTGGCAGTCTGGGAACCCACAGGGGCAGTTCTACCCTGTCCTACAGGATCGCTATGAGCTGGAATCATCTTAATGGAAGACAGTCTGAGCTTTGTGTGAAAGTGCACAAAATCCAATAGATCCGGCAAAATCCTGCTCAAAAAGATGTGTGTGTTATCTAAGGCAGTTTCCAATACTACTTCCCATCTTTTAATGCCTAGAACCTTTTAAAATTCAAATAACCTGTGTGAAAGAAAGGCATCTCTGGGCACATTACCTGGAGGCACTAGCTGTACTAACTCAAACCTGGTTAAGAACCCTGAAAAAGGGAAAAGAGTGAGATTTTAATACTTCTTGAAAGTCACCACAAGTTTTCACTAAGTTTAAAACTCCCACAATCTCCCATGTATATACTCTATGACTAGTAACAGTGATAGTTCTTATTATAATTAATTAGTAAAAACTCCCACAATCTCCCATGAATATACTTTATGAATAATAACAGTGATAGTTGTGATTATAATTAATAAGCACCATATCCACAGTCATCTGTGTATTTCTGGGTGGCAGCTTGTTTGGCGTCCCTGAGAGGCAGAGGTGGTGAAAAATCAAATACAAACCGGAAGGTTGGTGCTTCGAGACCACCCAGAGGTGCCTCAGAGACAAGGCCTGGCGATCTCTGGGCCGAGTTCTGCTCGGCACACACAGGGTCCCCCATGAGCCAGACCTGACTCAGTGATGGCGGGTTTGGTTCTGGAGGTTTGGTGCTTGTTTGTGCAAAGCTGTGTGCTGACTATTCCCTGTGGATCACCCCACAGATCTTCACCATCCCCTCCCCAACCCGATGTGGCAGTTTGTGGCAGTCTGGATAAACTAGGGAAACAAATCCACAGAAATTCATATGTATAAGAGAGTTTTATAGAAAAGGTAAGTGCACATTACGAAAGCATCCCAACCCAGTGCTGCCCAAGTCCATAAGTCCAGCATTAACCCATATGTCCAACACCAATCCACAAAGTCCTCCTCCATCTCACAATGCACACGCAATGATGCCAACTCAGGAGGGAAGCTGAATCGATGAGTGTGTAAGCATCTCAGCACTGGCAGGGGTCTCCACATGACTGCTCCAGCACCCAGGGCTGCATCAGGGTAGGTCCATGTGGCTTCTCCTCAAGGATGTCTTGCAGGAAGTGAGCCTTGCCAGCTGAAGTAGGGAACTGGCTAAGGCAGCTGCACTGGTCTGACCATCAGAAAGCAAGAGACCCGCGAACTAGAAAGGCGAGACTTAACAGAGCCATTATAGCTCTCTGCCCTTCAATTACTCCCACGTGTGTTTATCAGCCAGGTTGGCACAATAAGCCTTAACTGTCTCACAGTTACAGTTGAGTAAACAGGCCAAGGGGTAAGGTAGCTGGTCCAGGCCTGCAGCGAGTGAGTGCATGGTGGAGCGCCTCACTCCAAACACCACGCCCGTATCACTGTGCAAGACAGGCTCCTCAGGTTACCACACTATTGGCCAGACTGGAGCTTACTGGGAAGGCCACGTGCTTCATTCATGAGCCAGTTCCTGCTTCTGTGAATGCTGTTGCTTCTCCTACTGTTTCCCTGCCTCTTTCCCCTCCCTCTATCCCCAGCCCTCAGATCAAGGCAGGCCAACCGCACCCAATCAATATGTACCAGGGCTCTTCCTGGTGGGGAGGAGGGGCATGATTCTGGTAGACTGGGATCAACAACAAACACCCTGCTGGCCCCCGAGGAGGAGGAGGAGGTGAGCTCTTCAGCAATGATCCTCAGCCCTGCCAGTAACCCAGGAGCAGTAACTACATCCTGTAGAGCAGCCCTGACCATTGCCCACATCTCTGACACTGCCTACCTGTCTTCGCCGGCAGACTCCACTTCACCAACACCCTGGGGGTAGGCTGCACCTCACCCAGGCCCAATGGAAGGGTACAACACAGATCTTCTGTGGTCACCACTGGGTCTAAGCTTCCACTCAGTACTGCCTGGTTCTCCCACCTGACCTTAGACTTCACGTTGTCATTATTCATATATCATACAATTCAATAATTCAATCACATCAAGAAGAGTTGTACAGCCACCACCGCAATCAGTTCTAAAACACTTTCTTCACTCTTGTACTCATCCTTATTAGCACCCCATTTCCCTCCAACCTCCCCTGCTGCCCCCCGAAGGCTCCATTCATCCAGTTACTGTCTCTACAGATGGACCTATCCTGGATTTCATCTACAGAAAAACATCCATTTAAAAAAAGAAATAAAATAAAATTTAAAAAGAAAGAGAAATTAAGTAAAACAGATTAAAAGCCTCAAATAAAAAATAAAGCAGAACATGCTAAAAACAGAACAGATTTAAATTGCTAAATGGCGGTGGCATCTGCAACAACCCGCCTTCTCGTGCATGCTACATCACAGCAAAGCGACTCACATCGCTGGTCCACGGTCTGACCGTAGACTTCGACGCCGGTGTGTTTCCTGGTTTCTTCATGTCCATTTGGCTTTTCACGGTATTGTCTTCTGGCTCTGGCCTCTGACCTGAGCACCCGTCCAACAACTGAGCTAGCCCATGGTGCCGGAGGACCCTGACTCACCCCACCTCATTTCAATCCCCTTAGTCACCTGGTAGGAATACTGCTGGCATAGTGGTTACACACTGGGCTGTCATCCAAAAAGTCAGCAGTTCAAAACCACAGCCACTCCTCAGGAGAAAGACAGGGCTCTCTGCTCCTGCCAAGAGTGACAGTCTCAAAACTCCAGGGCAGTTCGTCCCCGTTCTGTAGGGTCACGGAGAGTCAGCATGGACTCCTTGGTTTCTTGGAGCCCAACTGGTATGCCAGTGTGGGGCTCTGCCTGGGCCCAGCTTGCGCTCTAAACAGCACTGCCCTGGCACCCCTGGCACTTGCATCTGATGCTTGTTCTTCTTCTTTTCTATCTGAGACTATGGTCTTCACTCTTTCAACGGAACAGAATCTCAGAAAGCTTAAGAACCAGGATAAGGTGGGGAGGGTACTGTTTATGTCTCCATAGAAAAGGGAGAAAGGACCAGACCTCAAGCTGGTGCGCCAAGCCTTGAGGGCAACATATCGGCACAAAGCAGCGAACTAACAGAGAGGTTCACGGGGCAACCCCAACCCCAGCTACATCAACCCCCGCCCCAGAAGAATGCACTACAGAGGATGGCCTTGAAGATATATCCCAGCGAGATTGGCAGGTCTGCCCAGACCACACAGGAGCAAACTAAGAGGGAAAGAGAGAGAGTGGACCAAATCCTGGCCCCCCAACCCTCGAGGAACACATCCCTGCACAGAGCAAGCCAATGCACAGAGAGGACCATAGGGCCAGCCCCACCACGGGACACAACATCGCCTCACTGACCCACAGCGCTACGGGAGACATTTTGTACAAAGTCTGCCCCACACGCGGAGGGCGAAGTATGAAGGGAATTCAACAGAGCAGCAAGGGAGCAAAGCAAGGCAGTTTCCGAGGAACTCCGAAAATAGACTTCTGACTCGGCGGCTGGGCTTTGCCCTCATCAAACCTGATCGGAAAACTTTCGTAAGGGACAGCAGACAGGCCTGGAACTATTTGTAGGCTTTATTTTTCCTTCTTCTTCTAATTTTTCTGTTTATTCTTTTCTTTTTCATGACTATCTATATAACAGAGGCAGGATAAACAATCCTGAGGAGAAAACAATGGGACTGATGGTTCGGAGGGGACATGAGAGAGGAAGAGGTGGGGGAAAGAGGGGATTGGGGTTAGGCAGCAAGGTCAGCGTCAAAGGAACAACAAGAGATCTAAAACGGATGAGGAGGAGGGCCTAGAATGCCTGGTGGGGATTGGTCAAGTACAATGTAGTCTAGAGGAATTACAGGGAGCCAAATAAAGGTCAAACACGATAGTTGGACAGGAAGAAAGTAAAATGAAATCGAGGAATTAGGAGGCAAAAGGCAATTATAGAGGTATAAATATAGACATGTATATATGTAAATATATCAATATGCAATGATAGGAATCCAGGCCTATGCACATATATTTGTATGTTAAATATTAAGGTAGTAGACGGACATTGGGCCTCTACTCAAGCCTTCCCTCAATGCAAGACCTTTGTTCTAATAACTTGGCATTCTGTGATGCTCACCTTCCCGACACAATTGCTGTATTAGTCTGGGTACTTTAGAGAAACAAATCCACAGAAGCTCATGTATAAGAGAGAGTTTTATATAAAAGTTAAGTGCTCATCAAGAAAGCATCCCAACCCAATGCTGCCCAAGCCCACAAGTCCAACATTAACCCATTAACTCATATGTCCAACACCAATCCACAAAGTCCTCCTCCATCTCACAAAACACACACTATGATGCCAACTGCAGGAGGAAAGCCGAGTCAGTGAATGTGTAAGCATCTCAGTGCTGGCAGGGGTCTCCACACGGGTGCTCCAGCACCCAGGGCTGCATCGGGGTAGGTCCATGTGGCTTCTCCTCAGGGATGTCTTGCAGGAAGTGAGCCTTGGCAGCTGAAGCAGGGAACTGGCTAAGGCAGCTGCACCCTGGTCCAACCATCACAAAGCAAGAGACCCAAGAACTCGAAAGGCAAGGATTACTGAGCCATTTATCCCTCCACCCTTCAATTAACCCCACATGTGTTTATCGGCCAAGTTGGCACAATAAACTAACTCAATCGCTGAAGACAAAATGGGTACAGAAGCAAATGTGGTGAAGAAAGCTAATGGTGCTTGGCTATTAAAATATATAGCATCTGGGGTCTTAGAAGCCTGAAGTTAAACAAGCGGCCATCTAGCAGGGAAGCAACAAAGCCCACATGGAAAAAGCACACCAGCCTGTGTGACCACAAGGTGTCAATGAGATCAGTTATCAGACATCAGAATACTCAAAGCAAACAATCATATCGATGCAAATGAGAAGGGTTGGAGTGGAGACTCAAAGCCCATCTGTAGACAATTGGAAACCCCCTCACAAAAGGGTCACAAGGAAGGAATGAGTCAGTGAGGGTGCAATATAGCACTGATGAAACACACAACATTCCTCTAGTTCTTTAGAGCTTCCTCGCTTCCACTATCATGACCCCAGTTCTACCTTACAAATCTAGCTAGACCAGAGCATGTACACTGGTACAGACAAGAGCTCTCAACACATGGAATTCAGGAGAGATAAACCCCTCAGGAACAGTAATGGGAGTATCAATACCATGAGGGTGGGGGAAAGTGGAGACAGAGGCGGAGAAATGATTAACATATAACCACCACTCCTAAAGGGGACAAACAACAGAGCCGTGGGTGAAGGGAGATCGCAGACAGTGTAAGATATGAAAATAATCTTAACTTATGTAAGGTTCACTAGGGTGGGAAGGTGGGGGAGGGAGGGAAAAAAGAAGTGCTGATACCAAGGGCTCAAGTAGAAAGAAAATGCTTTGAAAATGATGTTGGCAACGTATGCACAAATGTGCTTGATACAGTTGATGTATAGATTGTTATAAGAGCTGTAAGAGCCCCCAATAAAATGATTTTTTTAAGAAATAAAATTTATTTTTTAAAAATTAAAAGAATGTGGGTAAGGAACATATCAGTCATGAGCTTTTCAGTGTACAAGACTGGAAAGGGAAGAGCAGACCAAACAAGCAAGCAGATGGAAGGAGAGAAAATTAAGCAGAAAAACAGAACAGAAAAAGGGGGACAATCAGATCCCACAGACTGGGAAAAATTCCTTGGCAATGACCCATCAAACAACAAGGGACTAATCTCTAAAACGTCTTGACAACCAACATAGCAACAACAACAACAAAACCCCACAAAGAACCCAGTTTTAAAAAGGACAGGACATGAACAGACATTTTACCAAAGGAGACACTTGAGGTCAGCAAACATAGGCAGAAATGCTCATGACCATTAGCCACTTGAGAGGTGCACATCGATGCATCAATGATACAACAATCATCTCAGCCCTGGATTAAGAGAACGTTCAAAACGGCAGACAGCAACCCATGCTGGGGGTGTGTGGAGAGACGGGAACCCTCACACACAGGACAGTGATGCAACTACCACGTAAAATGATATGTGTTGGGCAGGGTTCTCGAGAGAAATGAAACCAGGTCACTTATGATTTTACATATATACATACATACATACACACATATACATATATGTATATATGCATGTATACATATATATATGGATAGGTTTATACAGCGAGAAGGAATATAACAGCTAATTAGTGCACACAGCAGGACAGAGGGTTCAGTTCAACTCCATTCTGTGGAACAGTCAATATACTGAAAGTCCTTTAACTCATGTGGGCTGCTGTGTCCAAGATCAAGGAAGCAGACAGCAGAGTCCTCCCTGGAGCAAGGTAAGCAGAGTCTGCCCACAGGCAGCAAGCAGCAGGGTGGGTCCCAAGGTGGGGAGCTTGGGAGATTAGCGAAGCAGACCGGGATGGGATATTGAACTGAAGCAATGCAAGGCGACAGAATCCACCAGCCTCAAACTCAAGCGATATATGTACCAGCAGGGTGGTGAAGCAGGTCTCGAAGGAGCCTCAAGCTCTATCAATGAGATACACAGGTTGGCCTGTGGTGAGGGTGAACCTCAGAGCTTATGTATATATCCCTTTTACACTTCAGTGGCAACATTATCCCTATTTTGAGGGTTACTCTAAATGACTTCTGTGTTAGTCTGGGTACATTAGAGAGACAAATCCACAGAAATTCATATGTATAAGAGAGAGTTTTATATAAAGGGTAAGTGCACATCAAGAAAACATCCCAACCCAGTGCTGCCCAAGCCCACAAGTCCAACATTAACCAATATGTCCGACACCAATCCACAAAGTCCTCCTCCATCTCACAAAACACACGCAATGATGCCGACTGCTGGAGGAAAGCCAAGTCAGTGAGCGTGTAAGCATCTCAGTGCTGGCAGCGGTCTCCACACGGCTGCTCCAGCACCCAGGGCTGCATCGGGGTAGGTCCCTGTGGCTTCTCCTCAGGGATGTCTTGCAGGAAGTGAGTCTTGCCAGCTGAAGCAGGGAACTGCTAAGACAGCTGCACCCTGGTGCGACCATCACAAAGCAAAAGACCTGAGAACTAGAAAGGCGAGGCTCACTGAGCCAATTATCCCTCCGCCCTTCAATGAACCCCACAGGTGTTTATCGGCCAGGTTGGCACAATAAACTTCAACTATATCAACCTCCATGAGACCGTGAATAATCCTAATAGTACTTATCACGACACTAGCAGCTGGTCTAGAATTAGAGTACCGCTGAGATCATCTTTCGGTTCGTGTGTTCATTAGAGGGTCTCTACCTTCCAAAATGTCTGCCACAGCACCAGGATCGATTGCTTTTTTGAAAACCTGCAGAGAAAAATGGGGCAATGCAGTTTAACTATTTTACCCATGGGTACATATAGAAAGTATACATTTTATTCTTCTGATTCATTCGTCCCTGGAAAAGCCCGCCATGTCATATTTTTAGGTTTCACCACGAGCATCTATCACAGGCGTGAAGTTAAAAAGTTAATATGTTGTTGGCAAGGTCAGCTGATGACGTCTTCTATCAGGTGGTAGATACTCCTATTTCTTTGTTTCTGACACTGGTGTGTCACCTCCCACGGTGGGGTGTCCTGGTGGCGCAGTGGGTTTCCTGCTCAAACCCACCAGCCACTCCTCAGAAGAAACAGGAAGCGTTCTACTTCCGTACAGATCTGCAGCCTTGGGAAGCCAAAGGGGCAGCGTCCCTATGCCTTGGAAGTGACTCAACAGAAGCGGGTTTGTCATGTTTGCGAGGAGCCCTGGCGGCTCTGTGGGCTAGGCACTGGTATGCTAACGGCGAGGTCAGCTGCTCAAACTCACCGGCTGCTCTAAGGGAGAAAGATGAGGCTGTCTGCTCCCAGAAAGGTTTATAGTCTCAGAAATCCTGAGTAGGAGCCAATTTGATGGCAATGGTTCGCATCTCGAATGGACACTTTGGCAATCCCGGCAGATGGGGCCCCGAGCCTGGTGTTTCCTCGCTTCTACAAGTCAAGGAGCAAGACAAGATGACCCCCAAGGTTGGTCACTAATGTATCATTCTATGTTTTCATGGTTTTGTGTCACTGGACCTTTGTTTGTTCAATGTTTGACATCGTCTCTAGAAACTAGGAGCCCGGGTGGTGGTATCAGGTAAGCGCTGGACTAATAACCATAAGGCTAGTGGTTCAAATGATCCAGCTGTTCCTTGGGAGGAGGACGAACCTATCTTATCTGCTCCCTTCAAGATCTGCGGCCTCTCACACACTGCCATTTAATTGATTCTGACTCGTTCAACCCTATAGGACAGGGCAGAACTGTCCTGTGGGTTTCTGAGACTGTAACTCTCTACAGGAGCAGAAAGTTTCCTCCGGAGAAGTGGCTGGTGGGTTCAAACTGCTAACCTGTGGTCAGCGGCCCAGCACGTAAGCACATCATCACCAGGGCTCTCCTTCTACACTTTCAGAAACTCTATAAACGATCACGATGAGTCAGAATCGGCTCCATGACACGTAGAAGCGTATTCAAAACTGATCAAACTAAAAGGAACTGTGGTGGGGAGACTGCATGTTCACCAGCTGTTCTCACCACTACCAACGTCTCAAGGGGAAAAGTCCATTCCCTTGTATTGCAATGCTACGTGCCAAGGTAACAGGCCAGCGGGGTTACACTCTTTATTTACCTTAAGAGGCCGTGCTTGTGCAGGTATTACAACAGACAGCTCACTTCCTGAGTATCATTTCCTAGATCTGTAAAAGGAATGTGCTCTGCCCTGGAGCCTCCCCAAGCCACGTCCTTCCCCAAAAGAACCATCACAGGGGTACTATGGGAGGGGATCATCAGACTTATCAAGGTGGCAATTGATCCCATCTCCCAGGCCCAAAGCAAAACCTCCAAGGGGCTGTCATCGGTGGCATAGCCATGAACAACATGGCGAGAGGATGACCAGGGCCTCACCGATTTGCATCGCTTGAATGCAATCTAGCCTAGAGCTTGTAGCTCAGGCAACCAGGCTGACCCAGATGAGGGCAGTCGGCACATCTGGCGGCCTTCTGGTCCTGTGACAGGATTTCCACTTTGTGGTGCTGTGGTTGTTAGGTGCCATCGAGTCAGTTCTGACCCAGCGGGACCCCGGGACAACAGAAGGAAGCACTGCGTGGTCCTGCGCCATCTTGACATTTCTTCCTATGCCAGGGCCCGTGGATGTAGCCACTGCGTCCAACTGTCTCTTTAAGGGCCTTCCTTTTTTCGTTGTCCTTGTACTTTACAAAGCATGATGTCCCTCTCTAGGGCCTAGTCTCTTCTGACAACATGTCCGAAGAATGTAAAACGAAGTCTTGCAAGTGTGCTGAGTCTAATAACTCATTTGGTAATAGGCCCCCGGGTCTAGAAGGTTTGTTTGGCAGGTCTGCTGGCATCTTGATAAAGCCTCCTATCAAGGCCATGCAGCTGCCTCCAGCCCTACAGGAACATTAACAAATGCTCTCTGCTCCAGTTCGAGAAGGCCAGGGGAATTCCAAGAATAGTCCAGGCCCAGCGCAGGAGATTAGCTCTAGGTTGACAACACTCGGCTCAGGCCCGCGATCCAAAATGGCGTTACCAAACAGACTACCTGAGGTTCTGCATGGTGCTTTTAAAAAGTGCTTTGGAGGGAATATATATATATATATGTAATAAAACAAGATTAGGAGCCCTGGTGACCTCGGGGGTCAGCAATTCGAAACCACCAGCCACTCCTCAGGAGAAAGATGAGGCTTTCTGCTCCAGTCGGGAGTTAGAATCAGAAACCCACGGGGCAGCTCTGCCCCACCCTCCAGACTTGATGGCTCAAAACCTCAGCCTCACTGCTGCCTCATCAATGCTGACCCATAGTGACCAGGGAAGACAGGAGAATTGCCCCTGCAGGTTTCCGAGACAATGAGTCATTGCGAGAGTAGAACGCCTCCCCTCTCTCTCTCCCCTGTGGAGCAGCTGGTGGTTTCAAACAGTTAATCTCAGGGTTACAAGCCCTACTCAAAACCAGGGCTGGACGGCAGTGACTGACAAAATGAGCATTTGATTGGCCCCAAGATCTCTGGAGGTAGTTTTCAGGCAGCAGGCGCTCATTAGAACAGCACACCCACCTTTTCAAATCTCATGGTCTGATGAATCATCACAGGGAACAGGGGCGGGAAGCAGTCGGTCTCCAGGTACTGGTTCAGGAAGTAGACTCCCAGGTACACATCTTGCTTGTTTGGCAGGAACACCCCAGGGCAAGAAACCTTGGAAAAATAAACGCGGAGGAAGACTTAGATGTGTATTGCTACATGAGGAAACCAATGTGAAGCCATCTCCCCCTATGCTCGCCTCATTCCAACCATACAATCAGTTCCACCCCTGACTCACTGCCATCGAGTCGACCCTGTAGCACAAGGTATAGCACAAAACTGCCCCTGTGCGTTTCCAAGACCGTAACTGTTAACAAGAGTAGATGCCCTGTCTTTCTCTCAAGGAACTGCTTGGTTGTTTTGGATTTATTATCAAACACACTATTTGGTGTATTAGCTAACAATTAGCAGTGGTTTTAACGGCTGATCTTTGGGATCAGAGCCCAACATGCCATAAGAGCCTCCTACAGTCGTCTGGAGGGCAAAGCTATGGAAACAGTGAACACTCAAAGGTTGTCAAGGACTGAGCCGATGAGGGAAGGGGCATGGGTAGGTAGAGGCCAGGGAGTCTTTAGGGCAGTGAACTCTTTTAGATGACCCTTGTCATCACACTCAGAAGCCCTGGTGGTGTAGTGGTTTTGCGTTGGGCTGCTAACTGCAAGGTCAGCAGTTTGAAACCACCAACAGAGAAAGATGGGGCTTCCTACTCCTGTAAAGAGTTACAGTCTCAGAAACTCTCAGGGGGCAGTTCTACCCTGTCCTATAGGGTCACTGTGGGTTGGCATTGACTTAATGGCAGTGTTTGATGTTTGGCCTGATTGTCATGCACACACTGCACCATGCATTTGCCAAAAACAGAAGACCATTCCACACCCAGTGAGCCCTTCTGTCAACCACGGGCTGTGGTTCATAGTAATTGATCAGTATGCGTTTGACTCTTGTCACAAGAGGTTAAGGACAGGAAAGGCTGGACAAGGAGAACTGTGCTCTGAATGTGCTCGGAACGATAGTTACTTTAGAAGGCCATGCTGCGATCACAAAAGAACCATGTTGTATGATCTCACTCACAGGAAATAAGCAACCCACACTTATTCCCATGACTAGATATGGGAAGCTCTGGTGGCAGAGTGGGTTACCTGTTGAGCTGCTAACCACAAGTTGAGCAGTTCAAAGATACCAGCTGCTCTTTCAAGGGAAAGATGAGGCTTTCTACTCC